AATCGATTATTCATCCTCACATCGACATGCAATAATTCAGCCCCAAGACAAAATGACACGCATTTAATGAATTTCAACTCAAGACACGTAATTATAAAGTTAATTTTCAATCGGACAGCGGCCGCTTCTAAAAATGACGTTGCATGCGTTGGTGATTAAAAATCACACAAAAGGGTTAAAGATACTGGATGACTAGCGTTACTTGGTCTCCGGTGAATGGCTAATTTTCATTGTAAAGTTGGAGATGAGTACCGAGTGCGGGGTGAGGGGGAGGTCCGGTTGTAGTGGGCGGTCGCCTTGATGACAGATAATAGGCAATGAGCAGGCAAAGAAAGTGTGAGAGAGTCATTAAGACGTTAGAACGCAATGGCGGGGTCCGATTGGTCCATCTTTTGTATTAGTCGGACTTTATAATATGTGCTCCATATCATATGAAGATTATATATATTTCCCACGCTTCAGAGTTAATACACGTATATGTTTAAATATATGTAGGTGGTTAGCTTAATGGTATTTACTAACAGAACTTGTAAGTTCAGTGTTTAAAAAAAATAAATATTATTTAAATGTTTTAGAAAACTCGCGCACTATTTTTACCATTAAATGTTTAAATAAACACTGACAGTGTTACTCTAAAATACACAGTTAATCATGAATACTAAACAATGCAATAAAATAGCACGTGTTTTGTTGCATACGCTTTATCTATCAGTTTGTGAGGGCGAGGGCGGTTCGCTGCGCGGTGGTCCGCACTATGCAATGCGCGGTATGCAAGTTCGCCGATGTGCGGGTCAGGGTGGCTGCGACTGCGGACACAATGGCCGCTATCTAACATCTCGCGTATTGTCTACCAAACGCTCTAACACCACCTACCAGAACTACAATAATAATGGATGTGGAATTTTAGCGAAGTATTTTGTATTAACGTTCCAATTCTAAAGACAAAGGTATATGCTTTTTCTTATATCTTTCCTTGATATGTAACTACCGTAATAATTACTACTCTATGTTATCTATGATGTAAACAAAACAATGAAGTTAATAATAATAAAATAAAACAATAAATAATTTAATTTGATATTTGGTTTTGTTCATTTAGTACCTATACTTAGTCTATGACATTTTAAATATGAAGAATATTTTATGTACATGTCGTATACAACGTGTATTCAATGAACCTCCAAATGTTCACAAATCCGTGTTGTATGGTGTACAGTGGATACAGGCAGCCGCAGGCGCGGCCATTGTTCCTATAGCGAGCTCTGCTCACCCCATTGTTCCTACGCCGTCGCTCTCCCATTGTCCGATCACCACTTCACCACCATACCACCATAGCACCACGCCGACCATTGAAAAGTCCTATATTAAACAACCGCCCCAGGATACAACTAAAGATAGTAAATAACAAGGGATTTTTAACACCAACTCACGCTGTAAAACAATATAAACGTGAAGATCATAACAGGATCCATCCGACTAAAAGAGTTATATCTCTTAAAATGTCTTCTCAAAGATGTAACTGTTTCGTTGGATGATTACACCGTGTTTATAAAGTAACCAAATTGACACAAACTTTAATGTAAAAATATTTGTGTGTAATTACGTGAAACATAATTGATAATTCTTAGTAATGTGTCGTGACATGCAACACGTAATGTCATACAAAAATGACAAGTGACTGCGCGTAATAATGCGTTGTGACCGCACACAGCACTCGCCACTGATACAGTCGGCGAGTAATTACAGGGCGCGCTGCCTACAGGAAAATGAGACGAGTGAAGGGTCGCTGGGAAAGTTCCAAAAATACTGATTTGTTTTCTTAATGTGACATACACGGCTTCTGGGAATTTGTTCGAGTTCTGTTAAAGAGTTTTTTTGTATCAATTTATACAGAAATTTACGTAAATATGCGCTAAATTATAATGTGTACAAATTCAATGGAGAATAGATATTTTAACAAACCAATCTAAAAAAATTACCTTTATAATAACGAACTAACAGACTTATTAAAAACAAACATATTTTTCATAAACACAGCTACTAATTAAGTTTTTCTTAATAACCAGCAGAAGAAGTCGCGGGCGACTGCTTGAGGTCAATAAATGACGCTGACAGCCAGATACATGTGCATATGTATAATTTCTCATAAGTAAATATAATGTAAAATTTCGAGATTTCGTTGTTAAAAATATACACAAGTTACAATATAATGATGGCTGTATTTTCCACATGTCTGCTGTTCCCTATGCGGATTAAAAGTGTTAATACATGTTCCTACGCTGTTAGTACCGGATTGTAACTCCGTAGCGCCGTCCTACTGCCGCCGGATGCGGTAAGGTGCCGGACGCGTTCCGAAGCGCAACTTGTCCTAAACTCCTAAGCTGGATGTATCTACATTTGACCGGTTGTTATATCTTACGGTGACCTAAATTAGACAAATACTACTATTATCTTACTTTACCTAGACCAGAATTTAAGTGTTAGATTTTTGGTATAATTTACGCCCGACTGCAAAAGTTTAAAACTAATTTTGTATATGACGATACAATGGCGATTGTGCTCGGCGCACTGATAATGTTTGTAAAATAATTTATAGGAAAAAATCAACAAGCATCGTGATAAGAATAAAAATATATTGATTTAAATATAGAGCAATCAATTAAAAAGCAAAATAAAAGATGAATGAATATGTAAGGCTGCGAGTTGCGAGTGGCACTGGCGATATCAATGGACGATCACTTTCCTAGAAACGAATGGCTAAGCGAGACGTCAAACATTGCGCGACAGCCGCACCGCACCGCATCGCCCGCTTCTGATAGTAAAATACAAACAACACACTGTAAGCAAAGCTATTCTTATAGCGAATGATCATCGACGTATTTAAAAATTAGTGTTATTGACTATGTAGAACAGAACCTACTTATACATTTTTCATATTATGTTAAATTAGCTGTCACCCACTACTCCGGCTGCGCGGTGAAAAAAAAACTTAATTAGTAGCCTATGTGTCCTTTCAGACGATGTTCTACATCTGTGCCAAATTTAATCGAGATCTATGCAGCCGTTCTAGAGATACCTTAAAAAAACATCCATCCATCTATCCATCCAAACATTCGCATTTATAACATTAGTAAGTTTACCATTGAAGTGTGTTGTGGTTTTGAATATCAGTTAAAGAAATATTTATATAAGGTTGCAAACTTCTTGAATAGAAAATTATATTAATGATAACTAAATGTGACTTTTCTTCGCGTTTACATTGCTACGCATCGCTTACAGTGTGCGGCAGACTTGCAGCGGTCCAGATGCGGCGGACAGGTGCAAGCGATCAATTAACAGGAGCGAGGCGGCCGCGCGTGCCCGCCGCACGCCGCCACCCGCCCCTAACCCACGGTATACGTCATAAGAGGAAGCGATTTACCTATAAAGATTTATTTACACATTTTATCGAACATCTTTTTTGATTTAATTTCATCAAAAATATTAAGGTCAGATTAAGAAATTATATCCTATCACGTTTTTATGTAATCATGTTTCCTGTCGTTAAGTTATGTAAACCACATAGGCAAATTGAAAACAGGAACTGAGTCATTCATATAAATTTAGTTAAAAACTGGTTTAATAATTCATATACCAAACGACTTTCACGAATTCGACCGTAAATATAATACTCTAATGATTGCCCTCCATGGTGTTGTTTATCATAATTCTGATATGATAGTAAGTTTATAACTTGTACCATACAGTGGAGTAGAGACATTCCCTCGACTCAATCTATCCCGCGGTCGCGATATCGCGATTACAAGGATTGCAGCGCCACAACGACACAGCGGCGGCGCAGGCGCAGGCGCACGTCACTGCTGCCACCTGCCAGGTACCAGCTACACTTTCGTGCACTTTTTGTATTACCATCTCTTTGATTAATCGATACAAGCTTGTTATGGTATTTGCATACAATATCGCTTGAGGGTATTAAAAAGCACAGTAAATATTTGCATAAAGATATGACTTTTAACTTTTCCCTGTAATCATCATCATGATAAAGCCGAGGTTTTTATGTCTATGGTTTAATATGTGATTCAAAACAATAGACAAACTGGAGTAGAAAGGCACAGATCCAACCAACTCTATAATACCTTATTATTATGTTGAAATCAAACTAATACACATTTGTAGGAGTGTTGTACTGTTGCTGCCGACCTCGAAACTTTAATAAAGTATTATAGAGCAACACAATGTGCCTATCATTGGCAACAACAAAGCTAACAGATATTTTTAAGAACAATAGCACAATACCGTTCCCAGTGCGGTGCACAGTCTGGCGTGCCGGCTCCCACGGACTCCGAAATAATATTAATTCTTATAATGGCTCGATCTTATGAAATGCACGTGATAGTAAGGTTGTTCTATTTTCGTCACTGATGCATAAATATCAGTCAATCTTTTAAGAAGCCTAATTTTTGATATCAAAAGAAATGTGCAACAACTCAACTCGGTCAACAGACATTCAATTAGACAAATATGGTGTTGGAATGCAAATATTCTGATTGACAATGTCTAATTTGGTGTCCTTTGTAACGAACTGGAGCTATTGAAAATAAACTAAATAAATTGTAGATCGATTCAGCATAAAATTTAACGTAAAAATGATCTTTTCCTACGTGATTACTATCAATTGAAGCAGCATCGATCTCTGGTCGCAGAACCGCGATTCATTCAGCGAGTCTGACGCAACTCTTCTTTACGTGTAATTACGTCACTTTCATAATCTTACGTAATGCTACATCATTGCCAATTATATCTTTTTATTTTTCAATATAACCTGTGTGACCGGAAAATATGTGGCATTTAAGCAAAATCGTTTTCACATTACCTTCTGTGATGTAACATAAGTAGGCTTGAAAGTGTCATAAATGTTAATATTCTTAAACAGGTTTTTTTATCTTCAATTAGTAAAAATTCGGACTAGAATATGACTTAGAAAATGATTGAAATCTTACCTCAGCAATGAAGTTGAATCGCGTCCTCCAAGGCCACGATTGGTCGATCAACCTGCAAACAAACATTGAGAAATTATGCGATTAAGACTCACGATTAACACTGTACATGTGGTCGAGTCAATGATTTACAAAGAACGAGAAAGCACATTTCATCGATATATTTTTAATTGATACCTTGTTCCATGTCTTGTTAACTGTACACGGAGCGCGACGGGTTCGATTACCTGATGTGAACAGTTAACATTACGTAGCAAGCGACCTGATGTTAACGTTACATCGCGATGTGCAGATAATCCGAAATCACGTGCCGCGTGTCGTGTGCTCATCACATAGCTGTCAAACATGCATCTCACACGCAACAACGATCGATCAGTATTTTATAACAATTAGATCCCCCGCACACTAGATACTTTTAGTCGCCCGTTTGATCGTGCGCTTAATCAATATGAGCATGTAATCGGTGTAATGTGGCGCCACATGGTGATTAAGACCACGATCAAACTATCGGGCGACTAAAAGTCTGTAGTGTGCGGGGGCTCTTAGATAGATACCTAATCGTGCTGGAGAAGTAAGATTCCAACGAACAGCTGAAAGGAGACACTGACGTAGATATCATGTCTTTCATCTTTCATTTTGTTACATAAAAAATAAAAAGTTTAATTTTTAATACGATTTAGTATTAAAAATTAAACTTTTTTGTTTTAAAACTATTTAAAGTCCAAATAGTGAAATGTAAACTTTCTCTTTTAAAATATATTTTATGAAGTTGAAAACAATAACGATCTGAATTTCTCCAGTCGTATGTGAGGAGCGGAGTGATTTAATACCTACAAGGTACACGCCGGGCCTTGTGGGGATACCATTGTCTACTATATTATACTGTTATGCCGGCGATGCTTCATTTCATTTTACGTCTTACTGTCATAACCAAATCCATTACTTGTTGCTTTATCACTAACTTACATAAAGAACGCCCCCTAAATTACCATTTAATAATATTACTCTAACAATACACTTTTGATTTATAACTTTTTGACATTTAGCAGTTATAAATAAAAAATGTTTACGTCATCAACACTTTCGCGCAAAAAAATAGAGTACAACTTATGCTTTCTTAACAATTACATGTAGAATGTTACTACTGTTGTAAAACATTGCGTGAAACCGCAACTTTGTTTATCTCTAGTCATTTTATGTCCGCTATAAAAACAATCACATATGGTCACCGTAGCCCAGAACTGTCGAGTGCGCGGTGCCGGTGCTTTGCGAAACGGTTTCACTTTCATTGGCCACCTGGCCCGGCCCGAGCCCGTCCGGTGGCATTTTTTTTCGCTCAGTGGAACTGCACCCATAACAGATTTCATCGCGAAATTATAGTCACTGGTGAGATTGTAAAACAACGATGCATTTGACTAATATAAATAAATTAGCTTTTTAGAAATGGTAAAAGGTACACCGGTGTCAACAGTAAAATATACAAAATCTAACTCACTACATACTTATGTAGAACATATCCTGGAAGAACACATATGCTACTAATCAAGTTACTTTTTAATTCCGCGCAGTTGGTTTCGCGGGCGACAGCTAGCACTAACATAAAAACAAGAATCAAATCAATGTCAGCTATTCCGTTGCGAGATGAAAACGAAAGGTCGGTGACCTCCACCAAATTTTACTTGTTATTCATGTGACCAATAGAATTTTGATGAAGTCCAATGTCGCGACTGCTAATTTTATCACCAACATTCATTATGCATCGGAGACGGTCCGAGATGAATATAGAAACGATTTCGCGAATAAAATGAATAAATTTAAGTAAATTATTCTGTGAGTCATATTGACCGCGAATTTAATTAGTGAAAGTATTTTCACTACAACTATCTCTGGATCTGCTTGCATCTCTACATTTGAGTTCAATTCCTGTCAAATACTGGAACTTATTTATTCCATGTAAAACTAATTCTTTGAAATTACTAGTAGTCTATTTAATCGATGAGTTTACATATAAATGCTTTCTGACAATTTTTTTATATGTTTATTCTTAATATATATACTTTGACAAGCATGAAACGTAAACCTATTATAACCATCGTAATGTTTACACATAGGTGTTTAATTTTCGCAAGATATTATGAGCACATCTTTTTAAAAGATGCAATTCTTTAATATCAATCGATATTCAACTATATCTCGAACATATAAGATCAATATTCGCATAACTTGAAAGCGCAAGATGTTGCCATCGTAAAATCGATTTTAATTAACGAAACATTGTAATGAGGCGTCTGTAACTGTTGTTAAATCGATAAAAGTTTAATCTTATATGATATTTATTTAGTGTTAACAAAGTAATGTTGCAATATTTGAATATTCACTGATGCAACAAGGTGTTCGTGTATTAATTAGTTGAGAGGTTCTGTGTAGAAGAATATTGCTTTCTTCAAGTAATTATTTACTTTAATCAACATACTATCGTGATGTAGTGTCATGAACACTTCAAATAAATATATCTTAATTATAAACAGTTGAATTTATGTGTAAAAATTACGAAAAAAAAGCAAAAAGAAATGCAGTATGTTGAGTCCAAAATTAAACATTCTGCCAAAAATGTGGCATACTGGCCACTGAGAACCTTTGCCTTTTAGTTTAAGAAAAAGATAGGTGAAAAAGAGAAGAGAGAATAGCGCGGGAACTGTTAAAAGATATAGTCGTGAACAAAGTTAGTTGGAATTAATAATGAATATTTTTTAAGAATAAAGATTTTAACAACGCAATAAACGCATTTTGGCTGTCGTGTTGTTGTTTTCAATTTATATATATTGTGTTAGAGTCAATTCCTAAAATATTTAACCTTTATGTTGGCACCTAAAACAAGTAATATTAGATCGATTTTGTTACTTGCTTTATATTCATGTAGTACATTTTCGTAGCTAAGTAGGTGAATGCAAGTTTTGATAGTAATGTATTCAGTTGAAAGTGGCCGCACTGAATTGCGACATTAGGCAATTACACAAATGACTTAATTACACAGCTGCATTGTACACATTGTGTTTACTAACTGGACGCATTGTAAACAGAACATCAATAAACTGATTTAGTATGTATGAGATAATAAACAGAAATGAATGAAATGATGATCGTAGTTATTATTATTTTTCTAAGCCCATAATTAGATGAGCGCATTACAATCTTTGTAAATCTTTTTACATTCATATTGCCTTGTTTATTCAAAATAAGTCTTGGTTTTGTGCGTCAGAGGGTAGCGTATAAAACTGTCAGAGAAAGTCTTTGGCCGGATAGCTGTTGAGCAAAAAATGAGCGACTTTCAGCGTTTCGGGCCACTGCGCACTGAGCACTGCGCACAACGAGCCTTACTGTTGAGAATTACAGGTAACGAGATGATTGTATCACACAAGAAGCTTCTAGAAATTTAAAACAAAACACGTATGTATCATTTATATACCGAGAATTTGTAAGAACTCTAACATGCTAAGTTTACCCTTAGATGTAGATGTCCGTGACTAAATCTACACTAAGGGTAATTTAATGTTATTTTGTCCTAAGTGTAACGTGTAAATTGTAATGGTAGTTAGAATAAAAATAAATTACTTTTTAAATATTAATTAATCTATAATCTAAAAATAACTATTAAGGTAAATTGTAAAACTTTATGTCAAAATGTATATTTAGAGGAGCTCATTAGAAAGTAGTCAAGATCGTAACCAGAGGTTGTCACTATCACAATGCAATACTTTTATATCATTTCAGGAAACACACCGGCGCGCTGCGCACAGACTGCTTTGTCAGCACAATGTGACGTCTCATCGCGATACCGATTGTTGGTCCGGACCTATTGACAATAAACATCCAAAATAGACGCACAGTGGAAGTGTGCCTTAATTTTTATATTTATACTTAGAGCAATTTTAACAATTAAATTAAAACAAACAATTTTTACGACGTAAGGTTTTGAATCGAAGACCCTATATTGCAATCCTCCCCTAACTTAAGGATTGGCGCTTCAAACCTCAAAGTATGCGAAATCAATTAGGTGAAGATTGAAGTTCTGATGGTAATTGAAATTGTTGAAAGAAACAATATAAAATTTACGGTCAGCAATGACTATGACATGCACTTAGCGGTCTACTGGATAACGATATATGACTTTCTATAAACTCAACAATACTAATAAGAATCGTAAAACAATAGCAATAAGGCGTAAAATCGTATTAACAATTTCACATTGCGATGATCCGTGTGGTCGAGTACTGAGAAGAATTGGAGCAAAAGGAACTGAGACGTACATACAAGTATTTCAATAACTTTAACAGTCCATTTGGTCGAAGCCCGCGGGTGACGTAAAGGTGGTGATACATCACGGTTATATTATATTACAAGCAGAGTGCACAGAAGAGTAGAAACTAGGCAAAAATAGTTTACTATGAATTTGTGAATAAAACTTCAGTTACACGTTTGCACCAGCCAACCAGATTGTTTTGTTACGGTAAACTTGTCAATAAACGTTATAAAAAGTAAGAAAGTTTTCCACTCTGGTGTATCCTCAGCCTAAGCAATGCAACAGAAAGACAACGTAACGCCCGGAGCGCACATTAGAGAAACTTCAAATAATTTGGGTACACGCAGACAATGTACTATTGTTTTATTATAGGTACGGGAGAGTCATTGACGTCTTGCCTCAAGGTTAAATAGATTTAGGATCGAAATATTAATTTTTTTCTTCAATATTTATTAGTCTGTTAACAAATAATGATGTTGGCATTCCTTTGTTTAATCTATCTTCGACAATTTGATGCGTTTGTAAATACTGCGGTTGTTCTGTCCAGTGGAGCAGCAAGAGGCCAAGTTCACTGGCCACTGGAGTGTGGCGCCTCGGGGGAGGCGTCACGGGGCGGCGGGAGGGGGAGGTAATTAGCAAATCATTGCGTCACGACGTCACAAAGCAACTCGGAGTACGCAGGCGAGACGCTCGTGGGAGTTACAACTGTCGCGGTCCAGCACCTCGCACTTCACTAAACAGTAGTTATTTCACTG